GTAGCTGTGAGGATGACAAGGGGTATTAAATAGCACGGTGCTGGGAACATAGTACCTGAAAACAATCATCAGCTTCTGCTCTGCGTCTCAGCGCTTCCATGTGCCAGGTGCCTGTCTAAATGCTTTTCGCTGGAGCCTCGTGACATGCAAAGTAGGCCCTGTTTACTATGCCCATTTTATAGCAATGAGATTCATAATGTACATAATGAGATTCACAGGTTCATGATTTACCCTAGGTCATGCAGGGACCTAACCCCTGTCACTATACTTCCCTGGGGATGGGATACAGATGAAAAAGATAAAGCTTTGGGGTAGATGAGCTTTAGTTTGAACCCAGTACCACCTTTTGCCATCTGGGTGACTTTAAGCAAGTCACCTCATCTCCCTGGGACCTGTTTCCGCATCTCTAAAATGTGCATAGGAATCTCTACCTCTTAGGGTTGGCATGGGAATTCAATTCAACATAATATATTTGAAATGCTTAGACCTTCAGCATCAAAAGGATCTGAAGCAAAAGTGGGTTATTGTGAGCGTGGCACATCTCCTGGCTCCATGGCCAAGGCTCTCCAACACTTTGCTTTACTGATCACTATCCTGAAGGCCTTGGTGGCAAGGGAGGATGGTCGGTGCCAACTCACAATGACAGACTGACATTTCAATGGATACTCACCACTCAGCCTTGCTCAGAGAGTCTGGGAGACAGCTCCAGAAAGTGGTTTTCCCTGCAGATGTTGACACATGCATGAGGCAGGGACTGAGCCCACTACCTGCAGCACCCATGAGGACTGGGTAGAGCCACTGTCCTCCTCCTCTGTCAGGCTGGCTCTCAAGACAGATTAGATAACAAGAGCGGCCAGGGTAGTGCTGATCCCCCAGTGCCCAGCACACCAACCAGGCTACAAAGGATGCAGAAGTTGCACATAGGATGGGCATTACCAACTGCAAATCAAAACTGTCAGCTTTTGGGAAGTCAGAACATAATTAGCTGTTAGGTCATCTCAAGCTGACAGGGAGCTACGGTGGCAAAAGGCATCCAGAACCAGGCCCGATGAGCTTCCCCTGGGCTCTGCTACACAGTCAGTCGGCTCCTTCTTAGCAGATTCCCCAGCCACGTTCATCACACAAGTACTCCATCCTTTGTCCTCTGGTTACTGAAATGCACCCATGGTTCCCAACGCCCTGTCACTGCCCAGGGGGTGAGCTGCTCCTAGGACAGTTGGCTCTGTAGGCTAAGAGGCTCAGACTCCAGGTCTGCACCCATACCTGATTACAGGTTCCCAGGCAGGCAGTGGAAAGAGCATTGTCCTGAGAATTCAGCCTCTGCCATTGACTGAAATAGGACTTTAGACACCGTGTGCCCCTCCCTGGGCCTCATTTTTTGTGTCTCTACACCCAGGGGGACTAGACTAACTCAGGGATAGAGACAGCAGGCGTCCTTGCCCTCACCCTTGCCATACCCACAGCATACATAGGTAATCAGTTGCGGCATCTTTTCATTAATCTACTCTCTGCCTCAGAAATCTTCTTCATGCAGAACTCCAAGCAATGACTACCGATAAACTGGAGTTGGCCTGCAAGAGGAAGCCTGGGTGCCATCCCCGAGCTCGTTGACCTCATGACTGCCCCTCAGCTCTAAAGACCTGCCATTGTCCTCTGTACACAACGGAAGGTACTAGAAGACTCTGCTCCATGTGTTTCAGCTCTCTGGACTTTTTTTTTTTTTTTTTTTTTGAGGTAGAGTCTCACTCTATTGCCCAGGATGAAGTGCAATGGTGCGATCTCAGCTCACTGCAAACTCTGCCTCCTGGGTTCAAGCGATTCTCCTGCCTCAGCCTCCCAAGTAGCTGGGATTACAGGCACACACCACCATGCCAGGCTAATTTTTGTATTTTTAATAGAGACAGGGTTTCACCATGTTGGCCAGGCTGGTCTTGAATTCCCGACCTCGGGTAATCCACCCGCCTCAGCCTCCTAAAGTGCTGGGATTACAGGCATAAGCCACCACACCTGGTCATGAACTTTAACTTTCTGATATTCCATGGACTTCCTGTGCATTGGATGGGAAGTTGGGGATGTGTTTATGTGTGAGGGGGATTGACAGACAGGAGGAAGAGTCCCCATGGTCTGAGGAGAGGTTGCCATGGTACACAGAGCTCAGCAGTAGAGGCGGACTCTGACTGCTGTGAGCCAGGCTCTGCCTCCTGGCCAGTCCTGCTGGGCTATGGCTTCATAAGCAGCAGCTCCCTCCACTCTGTGACCACCCCTGGGATCAGAGAGACAGCACAAAGTGGGATGGACATGTGAGCCTCTCCAGGTATGGTGGTAGCCACTAGAGCTGATTCTAAACCTGTGAACCTGGGACACTTTCCTGGCATGATCGTGCACACTAACACCACGTGATGGTTGAAATGTCCTTATGGTACACTGAAGAATGCCCGGGGCTCCTGGTAAAGACGGGGCCCCAAAACTCATAGAAAATGATCTGTGATTGCTGACAAATGCTGATGTGAGCTTCTGCTCTGCACAGCTCCTTAAATGACCTTCAACGTAAAACAGACATGAAAGAGGGCGATGCCGTCACGGCCCTCCTGGGACCCGCATGGGAGAATGGAGACACAAACACACGCTGGACTCTGCCAGAAGGAGACGCACCACGCTGGTTGATTGCAGAAAAACATCTCAAACAGCCTGTCAGTCTCTGGACATGTTTCTACTCAGTCAAGTACCGGGCTTCACTTACAAAAATGAAGACCCTTGAAGAGGTAAAAAGACTAAATAAATTCAAAGTATAGATTTCCAGTTTCTCAAGTCACATTTTCTTAACTGTAAGGGAATCCCAAAAACAGGCAGCGCATGCCAGAGGCTGATTCAACTTCACATGTGTTCATCGCGTACCTGCTGCAGTGGGGAACGGGCCTGCAGGAGGAGGGGGAACCCAGGAGGACACGGGTCCTGCCCTTGGAAGCTTTCAGACCAACAGCAGAGAGGACCTGAAGTAACACAACTCCTCTGAGAAGCCCTGAGGGCTCTGCAGATTTGTTCAAAGGAATGAGAAATCACCATGGTCCTGAGAGAGGGGAGCCTTCCTGGAGGAGGTGGCATTTGAGACAGGACTAGAGAGAAGCAGGAAAGTTTTCAGCTGTGGGGAGAGATAGAATTTGTGGAGGCCCAAGCTGAACCTAGGGAAAGATCTAGGAAGCGAATTCTGGCTGAAAAGCAGGAGAGGAGGCGAGTAGGAGGGAGGTTCCGGGCACCGGGTCAAGGAAGAGGGGGTGAGCCTGAAGGTCCAGTGAGGAGCCTCTGTGTTGTGGAGGGGCTGAGGAGGGAAGTAACTCCAGCAGAACAGAGCTTTAGGAATCCAGGATGTCGGCTCTCTGCCAGAAATCATCGGATGTCGCAGCCAGCCTGACCTTCAGAGTTTATCAAGCCCGAGAGCTTTCCTTTGCGGGAATGGATGAGAGAGTAGAGAGGATGCCTAACCTGAGACCACACACCAAAGAGCCTTTGCCAGCCCTGGAATGCAGAGCCCCTGCCTGCGAGCCCAGGGGCTCAGTTGGTGACAAGTCTGAAGGGAGGGCCAAGAATGGCCTGGATGCTGTAGGCTGTGTGCAGTAGCCCTGCAGTTCCAGAGCTGAATACTGGAAATGAGGCTGAGCCATCTCAGCACCGAGGGCCAAGACCTGGCTTCTGGGTCAGCATGGCAGGGACTGGACAAATCCACAATCTTCCAAACAAATGTGGGATTGCTCGGGTTTGAATTGTGGGTCCAGGACATATCTCAAGGGCCCAGAAGGGTTACTTGCACCATCATCTCTTTCACTCCTGAAGCTCCACCTTCTGAACTACAAAGGTGGTTTATAGTTTTAAATGCTTTATTGCACCACCTACCATATCTATGGCTTCAAGTGTCAGATTTTCCTACCATGGGCCTAGTTGAGACCTGTGTGGTCCAATATGTAGCCTTTAGCCACAAGTGGCTATTGAAAGCTAAATGAAAATTAAAATTCTATAATACAAGAAACTCAGTTTTTAAGTTTCACTGACCACCTTTAAAGTGCTTAATAGCCACATGTGGCCAGTGCTATCCCATTCCATAGCACACAATAGGACATTCCCATCATCACGGAAAGTTCTATTGGCCAACACCGGCTTGTAGCAGGAGCAGACTATGCCCTAGCCTGTGGGCTGAATTCAGTGGCCACCTGTTTTTATAAATAAAGATGTGCTGAAATGCAGCCATGCCCATTCATTTCTTGATGCCCATTCATGTTGGCCAGGCTGATCTTGAACTCCCGACCTCAGGTAATCCACCCACCTCAGCCTCCCAAAGTGCTGGGATTACAGGCTTGAGCCACCGCATTTTCTTTTTGAGATGGAGTCTTGCTCTGTCGGCCAGGCTGAAGTGCAATGGCACAATCTCAGCTCACTGCAACCTCCACCTCCCAGATTTAGGCAATTCTCCTACCTCAGCCACCTGAGTAGCTGGGACTACAGGCTCAGGCCATCACAGCCAGCTAATTTTTGTATATTTAGTAAAGATGGGTTTAACATGTTATCCAGGCTGGTCTCAAACTCCTGACCTCAGGCAATCCGCCCACCTCAGCCTTCCAAAGTGCTGGCCCATTCGTGACTGTACTGTGTATGTCTGCTTTTGTGCTACAATAACAGAGCTGAGTGGTTATGACAGACTGTGTGACTTGCAAAGCCTGCGATATTTACTGACCCTTTTTAAGAAAAGTTAGCTGATCCTGAGTACAGATTGTGCAAAAGCCACAGGAGCATCTTTTTCTCTAAAGATGCTCACTGGCACCTCCAAGAGTCAACAGTGGGTCCCAAGCTTGTGTCTCCTGGGAGGAGGCAGCAAAGGTAAAGCTGTCAACATCAGTGCTGAGCTTAGTGGGAATGCAGGATGGCTGCCCCCAAGCAGGCACCTTGTCTAGGGTGACCAAGCTCAGAAACAGGTAGTGACTGCAAGTCCACCCAGAAAAGCCACACACCAGAAGGGTCTTACCATTTGCTTGCTTTATTTTTTTTTTTTCATTTTTCCCAGGTCAATGAGGCAGCAACATTAACAAAAAGTGAGACACACTTTTTTCTTGCGTAATTCAATAATCCTTCCCAAACTGATGCTCCACAGATCATCCTAAGAGATTTTCATCGCATTTAGCCTAATTTGGAAGATCTGGCATTTCACATATCAAAAATAACTCCCAGACTGATAAGAGGCCAACCCACGAGCACTCAATTCCATGCAGGGCAATTCCTCGAGCAGACAGAGGGCTTCAGGTCACCCACTTCTGGCTCTTTCCAGTCCTGGTAGGTAAGAGAGGAGATCCAGGCTAAATTCTCTGGCACGTCAGGAAGGCCGGCACCTCTGGCTCTCCCTAGCTGGAGAGCCTCCAGGGCTACTGGATCAGCAGGGAGTCTGGGGGTTCTTTATGAACCCACCATTTGTGCAAGAAGCTTCATGCTTGCTGCCCAACAAACTCCTGAACGATCTTGACCTCGCCCTCCTTTTATGAACATACTCCCTTGTTGAAAAGGAGACTAAACCAATTCAAGAGGCTCACTGATGTTCACTTGGCAATGACTCTATTGTCAACAGAACACAGAATTTATTTGTAGCAGCTTGGAATGTCCCATGGCCAGAGGGAGTGGATTCTCTTAGGATGCCTGGGAGCATCTCAAATGGTAACATTTGGGACAGTCCAGCTGGGGGAATGCTGCAATTTTAGCTGTGCAAATTGCAAATGCATGTGGAACTCCGCTGTCACGCAAACAGGGGAAGCACCAGAATCCTTTCCTGTACAGCCAGGAAGCCCTGAACGGACAGGCTCCCCTCTTTCTCTCTCTCTCTCTGATTCCCAGGTTGATTTGCTGAATTCTCTCACTCCCATCAGCTTTTCTTTACTGCTCTGTCCAAGTTATTTGGATAAATGGGAACAAAGAAAAGAAAACAGCCTCAGCCTCCAGCCTTCCCTTTTGGGACCTGCCCCACCATGCACACTCTCTTCCAGGCACTTCTTGAATTACAGAGGAAACAAGAGTGAGTAAGTCCACTACGGAGCTACTACCAGGTTGGTTTAATTTGCATGGGTCCCAGACAAGTCTCAAGGGCCCAGGAGGGTCACCCGCGCTGTCGTCTCTTCCGTCCCCGCAGCTTCAGCCGCCTGGCTGGCAGGCTGACGGGCTGCTTCCCAAACTTCTCCATGATCTCTCGGATCCTGGCCATGTTGGTTTTGCTGAGTGTGAAGTCACATCGTGTGGCCCCCATGTCATAGCCAACCATGCAGTTCTTGGTGGACGCAGTGAAGCCTTCAGCCTTTGCTGTGACCACATACTCTCCAGGGTTCAGGAGGCGCCAGTAATCCCCATCGTTGGCTGTGAAAAGAAAACCAGCGGAGACTCAGAGCAGCTCTTGCTAACACAGATCCCACCAGCCCTCCTCCAAGACCAGAGAGAGACTCTCAGGCTGGCAATGTGGAATCCCAGTTCCCGCAGATGCAAATTCTTAAGGCATTTTGGAAGCCAAGATGTTTTTCTCTCTGAAAGCTGCCTTAATGGTTTTAACAGGGAGGGGAGGTATAGGCTCCCCACAGTGTCAATACACAGGAGCAAAGCTGGAGAGCTGATCACTAATGCTCCCTGTTCTGTGGCCATACGAGCCATTCATTGTGAACTTGAACTTCCAAATGGTATGCCCTTGCCACAAAATGTCATCTTAAAAAGCCATCAGTGCAGAGCCTCCTGGCTTCCTTAGCATGGCTGCAAACACACAGGAACTGTTTTTCAAAGGCGTGGGCTCTTCACTCTGGAAAGAGAAGGAAAGGACTACACGGGCTGAGGCCAGATGGCTCAGGAGAGGCCCTGGCCTCTGTACCCCATTCTCTGGCTGGGGCCTGGAGTTGCAGGGGCATCTATACATGGATGCTGCAGGGCAGAGGAGCCTTGGGATCACATGAGACCCATGCTGGAGCTGAGGTGGTGTCCCTGCCTCATTAGTAACCTTTTCTACATTAGTAAGGTGTAGTCTCCTACACCAGGTCACACAGCTAGCAATTAGCAGTCTTTCGCTTATGACAATCTGAAGGTCCTGCCCAGTCTGAAGTTTTGGAGCCAAGCAGAGAAAAGGCTGGGTTTGATCAAGTGCTAAGCAGGCCTTAGACAAGGTTTGCTTGTCTTAACACGTCCTGAAGTCTTCGAAGGGATGGAAGAAAACCATGTATGTGTGTGCCTGTAAATAGCTGTCTCCCACATACACAGCTATATTAACCCTTTGAAGCGTCATGGTGAAGTCACGCACATTCTAAACTCAATTCATCTGAGACACTCTGTGCAATACAGTGAGCTCCAGGAGCACAGCATGTGACGGGAAATGACATGTGGAGGCAGTCGCTGGCCACATGCACATCATGAAGGAGCTGAATGGGAAACAGGACTCCATCTTAGAGGCCCACGTACATGTGCAGGTAGGCAGCTCCTTGGTGTTTCTTGGCACTGTGCCCTGGGTCTTCCTTTAGTGAAATGGCAAGGTCTTCAACTAAATAAAATGCCACTTCATACCTTCTCAGGAGCACACAGAGCAGGCTGAATTATGCAATCAGGTGATGTGAGCCTCACAGCCCTGTTTGTCTTTGCTTTGGAGACCTCTCTCAGGGCTCCCACAGTCCCTGGCGAGACTGAGGGCACCACCTCCTTATGTGCCCTCCCCGTCCTCTCCCCCTTCCCTGCTGCCAGGCAGCACGGCCTTGAGAGTGGAAATGGTCTCCGCTTCCCACCTCAGCCCTGTGTTAAAGCTATAGGCGCCTGAAGAGCCCATGTTTTCCTCTTCTGTGTTCAGCATGTGTGCCGTTTATCCTCCTGTATTTAACACCAAACAGGTCTCACTCAGCTGAACACTGGTTCATCTGAATGCGCTGGAGAGAAGTGAGCCACCAGGAGAGCACGTGGCTTGCTGGCCTGAGAGGCAGAGCATTAGGTCTCAACTATCAAGGGTGCCCAGAAGGGATGACTTAAGGCCAAGAGCCTGCCCCTGCCAACAGCTGTTGTGGGGTCTGGGCATTTGAGGCCCCTGGAAGCAGACCTCCCAGGGAGACCTGACTCAATGACACTTGGAGATTAAACACCCCAGGGAAGGGGCAGCCCAAGTTCTCACCAAGGGTGCTCAGTAAGCTGAGAAGCGAAAGAAACCACAATAAACGATTATCAGCATAACGGGCTCAAGTTCATGTTTCTAATAAGAAGCCTTTGTGATTCCCCTTGTCCCCACAAAAGCCAGAAAAAGCCCTCCCTGCCCCCTCCCCAATCCACCCTCTGTGCTGCTGCTGGCCTCCTTATACACATCATGGTGCTTACTCCCTAAACCTGCTGTAATCACAGGGTCACATGGCGATGAAATCCAAAGTCCTTGGCTGGACCGAGCTCATGGGGTCCCAGTCCCTGCCCTCCCCTACGGCATCGCACGCCCCTTTGTTCCAGCCATGCTGAGTGCCTTACAGTGGTGTCTCAGGACACACACATCTCACACCTCTGGGTTTTGCATATACTGTTCCCACTACTGTTTCCAACTCCCCTGCCAGGTCAACTTCCTTTCACCCTTTGTAAAGTCAGGCCTTGCAAGATTCCATTTAAATGCCTAGAGTTTGTTTTTAATAATGAAAGCTATTCTTACTAATTTTCAAGAACTTTGTTTTCTCCTTGCGGCCCTGTTAGGTAAGCCCTCAAAGAAGATTCAGATACAACTTATGAATTTTTGAGGAGAAAGAACAAGCAGGTGCAGACAGTGTTCCTGTGAGCCCGAGGGTTAGCCCCATTCAGATAAGGGCTCAGTGCTTAGAGCAAAACCCGGCACAGCTCCCGCCGGCCCCTTCCATGTTATTACACTCCGCTGCTCCCAGCAGCCTCACTCCGGCCACACAACGCTTCCTTTTGTTCCTTCATCCTTGACTCTGAGCCTTTGTAATTACTGTTCCCTCCAATTGGAATGCCATTCCTTCTAAAGGCCTCCCTGTATATGTCCTGTTAGGGAGGGACCCTTCCTTGGCTTTCCCACCTGTTTATGAATGTCACTCGATTTATTTTTTTTCATGGCACGGATCATAGCGTGCAGTGAACTTTTAAATTTTCCTTTCAAATGATTTCTAGTGAAGGTCTCCTTCACTAGAATATGTACTTTTAGAGGCTATACTTGTTTTGTTCACCATAGTATTTCTAGTCTGGTGCATAATAGGAGCTCAGTAAGAAAGGTCAAAAGAATGAATACAACAATCGGACTGTCTGCAGGTTCACACAGCCAGAATGAGGAGCATTGGCCCTGTAATCTGGAAGTTTCTGCTGCTGAGACACGGATCTGCTGATGCCCTCATCAGCCTGGCAGGGCACGCCCTGCTCAGTTCTTGGCTGTTTTCCCCACATCTTCCTTCAGGCTCTCATCTTCTCTGCTTCTGTCTCTAGCCATTGGAACAGTCTGGAATCACTCACACTATGAAAAGCAGGGGACGCGGTGTTGGGCTGCTGTCCCCGAGTGGTCAAGTCTGTGTTCAGGGTGAGCCTGCTAGGGAGCTGCAGTGGAAGTCAACACATAGTGGGCATCCTAAGCATTCATAAGCAGAAGGGGCAACTCAGGCCCACAGATGTCCACGGACAAGTAGGTCAACTCGGTACCCACCAAGCAAAGGACTGGCGTGTGGAACAGTGAGCAAGTGTCTGGCCAACATACTGACATGCATCTAACTGAAAGCATTCTTACCAGCTTCCCTCCCTGTGGAATTACATTTAATACCTCTGTTTATTTCATGCAAAATCCATCCCGAAATAAAACTTGTCACATCACATAAACCTCAGACAGAAATCAAAGCAAATTCAGAGCTTTTCTGGAAGAAATTGAAAGATTCTGAAACAAAATAAAGAGCCATGTGTAAAGTATGGAGTTTATCTGTCATGAGAGCACACTGGGAAATTACTTATAGAGGGAAAATCAAGGGAGGGAGATGCATTTCCCATTAGCTCAACAAAACTGTCTCCTTGATTGCAGAAGCCTCAAACTCAGCACCCATTAGACAAAATATTCTATCTTGGCTTATGAGGCCCCAGGGCCTTTGCATCTCCCACTCAGTTCAAAACCCTCATGTTTTCTCACATTGCAACCAAAGCACTAAATAGTCCAAGGAATGTTCTAGGCTCCTTTAGAATTGTCATTTCAGATGAGGCATGGTGGCTCATGCCTGTAATCCCAGCACTTTGAGAGGCCGAGGCAGGCTGATCATGAGGTCAGGAGTTCGAGACCAGCCAGGCCAACATGGTGAAACCCCCTCTCTACTAAAAATGCAAAAATTGGCCGGGTGTGGTGGTGGGCTCCTGTGTTCCCAGCTACTTGGGAGGCTGAGGCAGGAGGGTTGCTTGAACCTGGAAGGCGGAGGTTGCAGTGAGCCAAGATCATGCCATTGCACTCCAGTCTGGGCGACAGAGCGAGACTCCATCTCAAACAAACAAACAAACAACAACAACAACAACAACAACAGAAATTGCCATTTCAAAGGAGCTTCACTTGTAATGTTTAAAATACAAATCCTATGCAGAACCACGTCACATATCCTTGCACGCACAACAATCGCCAGCACTCTGCGTGGTCTCTAGCACATTACAGCTATGCAATCTATGTTTGCGGAATTAGTGAAGGAATAATGAATAAATATACAAAAAATGAGCACCAATGAGGGGCTATGGTGTACAAAATTCAGTGGTATTCAGAGTGAAACCTCATGGTTCATGGCTATAAGATCAGGGACAAATGGTAGGAATGGTCAGAAAATATTGAGTGAAGAAATCAGTAACTAGGTGGGAAAAATACAATTTATGGCATTACACAGCAATCTACTATTTTGTGGCATTTCAGACACATTTTACCCATTTAAATAATTGGCCTTTCATGCCAGGCCCACTGCTAGGGAGCCTGGCAATGAAGGGTACATGGGCCAGGTCTGAACCTCAGCCTCACCTCATCCTAACATCCTCAAGTCTGCTTCCCGGCAGGTGGAATGGGACCTTTTGTTGGCACAACAGGATCACGGGAACAGTGTTCAGAGAAGGGGCCCCTCCTCTCTGTTCCAGAGAAATAGCATGGAAATAAAGGAAGGAGCACCAGATTTGAAGTCTCCAGTGCTTGGCTCAAATCATAGCTCCGCCACTCACTGCGTAATGCTGGAACATCGTGTACTGTCCATCCGCCCATTCATCAACAAGTATTTATAGAGCATCCTCTGCTCGGAAGTGGCCAGGCAGGGTGCTCGTAATACACTGAGGAACAAACCAACAAGACAGTCAGGGGCTCCTGACCTCGTGGGGGCTAAAAGGCAGAAACAAATAACTAGCACAGCACCCATGAGCCTACTATGTGGTATGTTACGAGGGAGACGTGCCATGGGAAAGGGACAAAGTTGGAGCAGGTAAGAGGGATCAGCAGGGCAGCGAGGAGGTGTGCCATGCTCATGGGGGTCAGGATTGGCTGCGCTGAGATGGTCTGAGCAAAGACCTGAAAGGGAGGAGACGGGAACCCAGGGACCCCGCAGGGAAGAAGTTCCAGTGGGCAGAGGCACCGCAGTGATGACCCCCTGTGTGGCTGTCAGTCCACGAGGAGCAATGGGAAGCCAGGTCGTGGGACCATCAGCACTGTTTGCCTAGGACAGGGGTGGGGAGTGGGACACAGCATTTTTAGTTTTAAGTGGGGCATCCCAGGTGATGAGAGCAGTGCGGCACAAAAGGAAAACCAGGACTGGTCAAGCACCTTTGTTTTCATGTCACCTTCTAACCAGCAAAGAACAGGGCAGAGTCATCCAGGACCCTGAGGCGTACCTGCAGGGCATCTTCCGGCCCACCTGGGAGTCAGAGACCTGAAGCCAAACCCCACTCACCCCTTTAACCATCAGCGGGTCACTACCCTCCCTCAGCTTCTGTTTTTCACCTGAATAAGTGGGAGAGAATGGCCCGTCTCCCTCAAAAAAGATAAAATGAAAACAACGAAGAGAAAGCATGCACGCGAGCTCTTTGAGAACAGATTGTGTGGGGAACAGCGCCTTGTTCCTGCCGTTGCTGAGTGATCTGGGGCAGCCTTCTGCTCTCCTGATGTGGTATGGCCACTTCGTACGTGCATTTTAAAATGGGAGATCATTTTGGCATTTTAGGAACTGGAAACTAAATTTGGTTTACCAAACCCTGGGTCTTACAATTTCTTTTCTTCTATAGCAAAGAGAATTGGAATAACATGTCAGCACTGCCTTTTAGAGATCATCCTCTGACCCTCAGATTATCCAAGTTCCTAGAATTGTCTACCCTCTATTCAAAAGGGAGTCACATGTGCTAGCCCTGACTAGTTAACACCACCAGACATTTGTCCCTTCCAGTGAGTGGAAGCTAGTAACACCACCAGACATTCGTCCCTTCCAGTAAGTGGAAGCTGGGTCTCCCTGTCGCATTTCCTCTTCTAATGACAGCATCAAGAAAAGTACATCGTATGTGAGGAATGACGCAGTTAATACAAGAAAGCTTTTAACAGAGTTTATTGTTACTGTTATTCTTATCCTGCCCTTCACATTACAGCATTACAGACACTTGAGTCTTCCTAAGACATGCTCAGTGATTTCCTGTGCTTTAATGGAAAAATTGCATCCTCTCTGGAGGGGCACTTAAGGCCAATCCAACCCACCCCTCTAGCTGTCCTCTCACCACTGGAGCCTTCAAACTCCACCCCTCCACAAGCTGCCCAGCCTACAGCTCCTCCCTCTTGGGCACAGCCTGGCTCCCTCCCTCCCTGCAACCTCTGTGCTCATGGGCACAGGGGCACAGGCCACATTTCATCTTGTCTGAGAGCTAAGCTACCTATAGATGCAACAACTCCGTAGAGACAGAGCTGCTTCCTCAACTCCTTAGAAACTTCCATGGCACCTGGAGGTCGGCTGGCTGCCACATGACCATCCTGTGAAAGGCACAGAGAGCAACCAGGAAGCATGGGCTGAAACCCTCGCTTTCGAGGGTCTCTTGAAAAGTGGGAAATTTAGAGGAAGACTCTAATTTGGCTCTGAGTATGACATTTCTGGCAGTCATTTCATGATTGTAGCCCAAGTAAAACACCTCAAAAAATGGATATTTCTTACCAAGAGGCTGTCTGTACACATCTGCTGTTACCTGTTCGGATGTCATGGTTAACGCCTTCTACGGAGATAACGGCATTTGGGATTCCTTTTCCGTATGAATCTCTCACCAAGCCTTTGATGCCACGATGAACCTGCTCGGCGAACATGAGACACAGGGTGAGGCCACCGACCAGCTCTGGACACCAGTGGCACAACGGAGAGTGGGCTGTCCACTCGCCATCGGCTGGTTCCCACCAAGAACTCACATAGCACCACATCTCAAAGCCAAAAAGCAGGTTCATTGCTTGCTGCATTGCAGGGTTCAGTTAACAAGAGCCAGGTCTTGGTGTAAGAAAAGTGCACTTATTTCTGAAGCTAGCCTTGGGGAAGTGTCCTGCTTTAAAATGTGCCACTTCTCCTTTGGCGCAAAAAGCAGATTTTTGCCCCTTTTATGGGGGAGTGGGTTACTGAGCAAGGCCAAGGGTCTCCCTGCTAGCCTGGTGTCTTATCTACCAGGCAGTTGAGCTGGCACCTTCCTGGGCAGAAAAAAGTTGTAAAAGTGGCCAACAGGCAAGCTTTCCGAGGCCAGCCCCTGGAGGTGGGCGGTCCGCCTTGGAGCACAGATGAGCTTGCCCTGCAGGGAATGTCTGCTGAGGGGGAAGTGACAGGTTATTTTGCATTTCAAAAAGGGCTAAGTGGGAAGTAGGGGAAAGGAGAAAGGAGAAAAAAAAATAATTAAATTCTCTTTTAGAAAAATAGGAGTCCTCGGGTTATAGGCTCGCCTGGGTCTGTGTGGATTTGGAATGTAAACTTCTGCATTTCTTTGGGGTTCTTGCACCAGAAGTTCTTCCATGAGAATTGCCAGAGGCTTAAAAAATATTAGAATCTGAGATGGTTCACAGAAACACATTTACTAAAAACTGAAATTTAATTTTTATAGGCGCATTTATTTTTACTTTCTTGGACGTGCTGACTTAAAAATCAGAAGGGAAAGAAAAGAATCAAAGAAACCTCCCTATAAGATGACAACTCCATGCATAGACCCTTCTGATGACTTAGTTGTGTCATGCGATGCACTCGAAACGTATGCCTCAGTTTCCCCACCTGTAGAATGATATGCCAGTCCAAGGTGACATTCCATCATTACCAGTGACTTTATACATATTATTAGGACTGGGCATTTTATCCACAGAAGGCCCTTTGGCTAAATGGAATCATTCCTTAAGACTGATTAGGCTGTTACAGTCAAGGCCTTCTCTTTACATAGATGCAAAAGAAACAGAGCCTTCCCTTACAAAATTCCAGGGTGGGGGCAGGAATTCCTCTGGTGATGATTTCCCTAAGATGGAAAAATAGACTCACACCCTCCTGTGTCAGGGAAGCTCACTGGGGGCTGAGTCTCCCAAGACCTTGATGAGACAGACTCAGATGCTAAATCCTGGTACCAACCTCTGCCCCCTGGGCAGAAGTGCAGCCAAAGGTGCCAGCCCAAGCCATTGGCTGAATGCGCCTTCTGACTCCTGTATACAACCCCATGGAAGGGGAACCTAGTGACCAGCCCCAGGGTTTTACTTCCTAATGGATGGAAGTTAAGGCAGAGTCAGAATTAACACTTACAAAGAGCGGGAGCCCCGAGGCTCAGCACTTGTTTCTGTTTATTCCCATGGTTTCCAGTGAGACTGTTCTTGAGTGCAGCATGGATATTGTTTGCTGAGTTGCAGAACTAGAACCGGTTAATTCACTAAAGCTGCAAGATGGATGTGTCCTTGAGAGCCTCTGGCAGCAAGGTGTTCAAAGTTCCCAGCTGGGTAGCAGAACCCAGCGGCACTTGTTAAAGCTGCTCCCAGCTCGTTCACCCCTGTCACCTGCAACAGTGACTCTGTAGGCCTGGAAGGGTATTAGGGACTCAACTGTGTCCTCACCCCATCCTGGCCCCCAGAATCATATGTGGAAGCCCTAATCCCAGAATCTCAGAATGTGCCTATTTAGAGACGGGGCCTTCACAGAGGTAATTAAGTGAAAATGAGGCCGTTAAGGTGGCATCCTCCTAAGAAGAGGAAATTTGGACTCATACACAGAGGCATACGTACAGAGGGATGACCACCACATGAAGAGGTGGCGAGATGGCAGCGGAGGAGACAAGTCTCTGAGGACACCAACCCTGAGGGAGGCTTGGTTTCAGACTTACGGCCTCAGGAGCTGCAAGAGAATCAACATCTGCCTTGTAAGCATCCAGTCTGGGGTGCTTTGTGACGGCAGCTGGAGCAGACTGAGGCAAGGGACCAGGGCACATTGACTCAAACACATTAGCACCTGTTCCCTGCACAGCAGCATCAGAGAGCTCAGGAACCAGTGCCACTTGCTCCAGGCCAGTAGGGGCAATGGCCACTGGTTTAGAGGTCTCTTTTCTGAGGTCTACTCAAGTGTCGACACACAGTGGCTCCTCGCAGCACTGCGGCTGGCCCAGGATGATGGCCAAGCTCTGAAGCGTTAATTCCATCCCATGCTTTCAGCCACCTCGGCGGCCTCATCCCCCAGCTAGTCCCCTTCATCTCAGTCACGCGCCCACAATATACCTGCTCCATGAACACGATCAGAGATTCCCGGTTATTCTCCCACTCCTCGGGCAGCTGGCTCTCATGTGGGTATTTATCACAGCCCACGTAGATGGACAGTTCGAAGCAGTTTGTGTGAAGGTAGCTGAAATCGTTCAGACCTGCCAAGCCAACGGGAAAACAGTTTAGCTGAACAATACTCAATGGCACTGGGGAATGGGGTACAGGGGACAGCAGGGATGTTGAAGAACATTCATAAGGCCTTGTTTAAGCAGGGAGGTATCAAGTATCTACTATAGACAAAAATGTGCATTAGAGCAACTGTGTGACAGACACATAGAAGGGTGTCTTTGACAAAAGAAGAACTGAAATAAGTGCTTTTTAGATAAAATACTTCATTAAAGTAAAAAAGTTTAACAGTCCACTTTTGGAGTAAAGCTATCATTCATGAACACGACAGGTTTTAAGTGTTTGGTTAAGTTTGTCTCTAGACTTATACTGTCTCCGCTGTAGCGCTAGGAGACAGTATAACTGTGATATTCAAATGTCATCTATTTTGATTCCAAAAATCACGAAATAATAAATATTACTGTTTGCCGAGTGCCTCCCATAAGCCAGGATCTGTCCTAAGCACTCTGCAGCCATTAGGTCACTTAATTTTCACCCCAAACCTAGCAGAGGTAGGCAGGACAGCACAATGTTACAAATGAGAAAATTGAGGTTGAGAATGGGGAGAATCGTACACAGGACCATGTATGTGTCCGGAAAGGGCCAGAGTTGAGGTTTGGGCCCAGGTCTGCATGTCCTTGCTCATGGCTCTGAATAGACTTCTAGGCAAACTCACTCTCCCAGTACGCGTGAAAGCAGACAAGTCTTCTGCCTCCTGGCGTGACTACAGCAGGACAGGAAGCCCCAGCCTGACATGTAGCCGGCATCTGAACTCATTTCCTAGGGCCACCGTTATAATACAAATTACCACCAAATGATTGGCTTAAAGCAACAGAAATGTGTCCTCTCACAGTCCCAGAGGCCAGAAGTCTGAAATCAAGGTGTTTGTGGTCCCTCCAAAGCCTCTAAGGGAGGTGCCTTCCTTTCCTCTTGCAGCTTCTGGGGGCCCCGGGTGTTCCTCGTCTTGAGGCCACACCACTCAGCTCTCTGCCCCACCTTCATATGGCTTCTCCTCTTCTTCTGTCTTTCTTCTGTCCCTTACAAGGACACTTCCCACTGATCTTAAGGCCCATCCAGGTAACACAGGGTGACCCCATCTGGAGACTGTGAATATAATTATACCTGCCAAGATTCGTTTTCCAAATAAGCTAACATTCCCCGGTGTGGAGTTTTAGAAAGCAGACATTATCTTTTGCGGAGGCCACCATTCCACCCACTATACTAACAACGTTTGAGAAATAAACAAATGAGTGTTTGATGGCATGAAGTACCAGTGACTTCCTTCCCAGCATTTTTGCGTTTGAACAGGATGATGATTAGTAAGCTGCGCTCTGCGCGACTCACCCAACAGAAGGCTCCTCTGATCAGCCCTCCCTGGGTTCTAGGGTCAGGGTCACAGAAAGCAGGAGTGCTGTGTTCCTCTGACAACTTTGCTTCCTTCTCACTTAGTGCACGACAAGGAAACCTCTCCTGCAATGTTCACTATCAAAACCGTGGCTTTGGGGTGTCAAGAGCAACTCTATCAATCTGCTGCCTAGTCACTGAAGTCAGAAGCAAAATGGCATCAAGTATACAGATTCTACCCAATTCCAGATTCGTACCACTCACATGCCATCAACAATGGGCCTCTGATCATGCCTGTGATGAAACACAGTGAGCGTATTTGCAGTGAGGACAGTGGAATAAAAAGGGTGGGACGGAGCCAAGTCAAATGGAAAATCCTCTACATGGCGTCTGGTCTCATTGAAGGAGGGTGGTCAAAGTTCCTTCGGTCAAACCCGTGGTTTGGAAATACAGAGAGTGCAAGAAGGCCAGGGGGCAACAAACCGCTGGTGAGCACAGGTTCCAGCTTTCCGGGAGGGCTGAACAGCTCTCTGCACATAAAATGATCGTTACTTCCACCCTTTTAGTCCTCATTAGCATGGAAATAAATGTGATATTCAAACATTCTGGAGTGAGCCTGCCATTTTGCAATATGTGTCTTCAGAGCACAGGAAGCTTTAGAAGAACTGGCAAAGTAAGAAACCAGAGGGAGGTGGAGAAGCTTGGGCCACGCTGTCTTGCTGCTGCCCGCCAGCCTTCCAGAACTTGTCCACTTGCTGAGAATACGTGGCCAGAAAAGGGCTTCAGAAGCAAAATGCTACTTCCTGTCTGAGGTGTGTGAACAAAAGACCACGATGTGCCCCAGACAGTTCTTCACAAGCCTTCAATTCTAGCCGAGGTGGTGAGACGCTCCTTTGTGTTCTCTCCCTGACTGGCACCCTTCTCTTGACACCAGCTTCACCAGGGAAGGCACAGCTGTATTCCTTACAGCTCTGTGCATCTGACGCAACCACAACACCTGCCTTCGCTATGGAGGAGAAGGTGCAGGGTTGCAGGAATGGCAAGGCTCACAGGAGTCTGGAGTGAAAGCACACACTCTCTAAATGATGTTCATTTCAAAATGTATTGACCCTTGTTTTCAACAGGGACATTCCCCATTAACTAGTGCCTGGCAGGGCACAGCTAATGAGTGAGAAAAAATGGAACAAAAAGGTGAAGAGGAGTGGGAGGGGGAGGGAAGGAAATTACAAGTCACATTTCATTAATCTACAAAGCAGTGAATCTGCAGACTTCATCACACTGTCAGGAAGATAAATGATTAAAAAGGCTTGAGCTACCACATGGCTCTGCTGCCAAGTCCCAGAAACAATGGAAAATATAATTGATAGAAAAAAAACATCAAATGCTACCTATGTGATGGTGTGGCAGCCAACCTCGCAAAATGTTACTCGTGACCAACACTGGGGACTCCAGGTGTGCCCATGCCCGGTTTAGTCACAGCAGCCATAACAAATAAACAGGTATTTTACTTCAAGCTTTTTGTAGATGGGCTTTTAGGCTGAAACCTTGAAAAGCAAGAATGCGTTTTGCCTTTAGGAAATTCTCTTGACAGATAGAGATTCACATTTTTTATTTATTTCTTACAAGGTAAAACCATGATGGATTTAGATAAAATGCCTCTGCTTGGTCTGTACCAGGCAAAACCGTGGAAACAAGTATTTCTGCTTTTGCTTTTCTTTTCCCAAGGGTGGGAACATACTTGAAAAGTATGTGAAGGCTGAGTTTCTAACAAAGTCAAATAGTATTAAAGTTTATTAGTGGAGTGAAACTGACAACGAGGATATGCTCATATGAGGTTTCACAGCAGCCGTGTTACTGCACAGAGCAGGGTCCGCAGGGGATGGGAACTTATCAGGACTGCTTCTGTGAGCCACAAGTTGAACACATCTTCCACTTATGCAATCCTCACAGCGTCCGAGACGGAGCTGGTGCTACCGCCACCATCTTCCTCCTCATCATCATCATGCCCCCACCCCCACTTTTTTTTTTTTTTTTTTTTTGAGACAGAGTTTCACTCTTGTTGCCGAGGCTGGAGTGCAATGGTGCGATCTCAGCTCACTGAAACCTCCACCTCCCAGATTCAAGCAATTCTCCTACCTCAGCTTCCTGAGTAGCTGGGATTATAGGCATGTACCACCACACCCAGCTAATTTGTTGTATCTTTAGTAGAGACAGGGTTTCACCATGTTGGCCTGGCTGGTTTTGAACTCCCAACTTCAAGGTCTCCCAAAGTGCTGGGATTACAGGCATAGGTCACTGCGCCTAGCCATCACACCCATTTTTACAAATGAAAAAGTGTAAGCAAGGGTTCAGAGAGGTTAAGTAACTGGCCCTGCATCACACAGCAACTAAGCGACAGAGTGGGATTTGAACCCCCAGCCTGACACGAAACTATTTTACAAATTCATCATTGGCTTGACCAACACTCACAAAGTGAAGGAAATAAGCATGAAGCCTTATGCCTGGGGTCCTGCAGGGGAACTGCAGGAATGAGACAGCCTCAGCCCTCCTGGGTTAGGGAACATCCCTGAGACAGGAAACAAAGTGCTTGTCCTGACATGTGGATGATGGGCCCCCTGGCTGCTGTGAGGGAATCCCTGCAGTCTCTCCTGGGAGCCTCTGCAGTCCTGAGTGGATGCCAGGAACAATGCCTCATATTCCCCATGCTACACCCAGTTGGTGTGGACTGCAGACTATGGTTTGAGCGTGACGGGCCGATGCTGGCCACTGGAGGACAGCAGGTAATGAAGGGAACCACCCCCACCACAGGTCCAGTCTCAGGATACCCCTGTAGCTCAGAGTCCCTTCAGAGCTGAGCTGAGATGAATGCCTGGCACCCTCTGTGGGTTTACAGCACAGGTCATCACCCAAGGTAAGAACAGCTCTTGGCTGGGCGAAATGGCTTGTGCCTGTAATCCCAGCACTTTGGGAGGGCGAGGCAGGAGGATCACCAGAGGTTGGAAGTTCGAGACCAGAATGACCAACATGGAAAAACTCCCTCTCTACTAAAAATACAGAATCAGCCCAGCATGGTGGCTCATGCCTGTTAAGTCCAGCTACTTGGGAGATTGAGGCAGGAGAATCACTTGAACCCAGGAGGAGGAGGTTGCAATGAGCAGAGATTGCACCATTGCACTCCAGTCTTGGGCAACAAGAGCAAAACTCTCGTCTCAAAAAACAAACAAACAAACAACAACAACAACAACAACAACAAAACAGCTCTTACAGATCAGACAAGAAAATCGCAGGCTCCAGCGCCAGCACCAGCACGCTCTCCACCCCTTCACTGGGTGGTGGTGGTGGTTTTTTTTTTTAAGTCAAATATTGCCATTCAGCCTAATTTTATGCATCTCTAACCCTACCAAATCTGAGTAGCTCGGAAGCGAAGCTCAGGACACGGAGTCAGAGAACCCAGCCCTGTGCCTTTCTTCCTGTCTCACAGGTTTGGGTCTCCAGCCCCAGTTACCTCCTTTGCGCGCTGGAAAATGAGACTGAGGCCGGGATGGAAGGAGGGCCTGAGTGCGGCGCTTTGGAAAGTGCTGTCGCGTCCTACGTGCTGCACCGTGGCAGCTGCCACTTCGGGACAGTCATGACACCAGGAGGCCGGGAGGAGGCCCCTGCAGCGTCCTCCCCACTCTCTCCCCATGGAGGCTTACTTCCGGCGACGGTGTGCCAGGAGGCCCCATTGACGGTGCCCTCCTCCTTCTGGAAGTCCTCCGTGTGGCACACCCTCCTCCGGGCGTCGGTCATGAGACGGTGCGTGGAGGCGTAGGAGTAGGCCAGCCAGCGGAACACGTGGTCATCGGGGGTGGGGGTGTGTTCCTGCGTCTTCCAGGGGGACCGCACCAGGTCGTAGGGGTACGCCACCACCAGCTCCCCGCCCTGCAGGTTGCCGCCCAGCACAAAAGGGATTTTTTCCATCCAGGCTATGACTGCTCTGGTCTCGGCAGCCACCTGTGAACGTTCCAAATGGACAAGTTAAATGAGCGGGGAGCTGCTTTCTCTCCCCAGCTGTCCTACAGGGACATAGTCAAAAAAGCAGTGCTTTTATGGAATCATCTTAGGAAAGTTTAGAATTTCAAAATCAATTCTGGGAAAATGTAAAGGAGACTTAGAAAGACTCCTAAACCAGTCAGAACAAATGGGCTTTTTTTGGATCTTGATTTAAACAACCTTGGGGGGGGGGGGAATGATAGCAGAGGAAATGTGAACACTGACAAGATACTTGGCAATATTAAGGAACAATTTATTTTGATATAATAATGGTAACACCTTATGGTTGTAAAAGAGTGCCTTTCTTTTTAGAAACATAGACTGAAATCTTTACAAAGGAAATGCTATGATGCCTGAATTTGGCTTCAGTAATCTGGGGGAGGAGGAGAAAGTGAGTGAAGATGTGGATGAAACAGGAACCGGTGTCAGAGCGGAGATGGGTCCCTGGCAATCCTGGCCAGCTTCCTCCCTAATTCTCAATGTTTGACATTGTTTAATAATAAAATGAGAGAGAGAGAGAGAGAGAGAGAGAGAGAGAGAGAGAGAGAGAGGAGGAAGGAAAGAGAGAGAGAAAGAGAGAGAAAGAATAAAGAAAAGAAAGAAAGAAAGAAAAGAAGGAAGGAAGGAAGGAAGGAAGGAAGGAAGGAAGGAGAAAAAGATGAAGAAAGGAAAGAAAGAAAAGAAAAAAAGGAGAAAAGAAAGGTTAAAGGCTAAAATCTGAAAGTTTGATATGGTCAAACATTGATCAGTGAAACAAGTATTTATCATAAATTGCTAATCCCTGTGACGATAATCTCAATAAGATAAAATTGACGATGACAAAGAATAGACATTGGAAATCATTTCACCATGCAGTATAGGAAATTGAGTAAGGGATGAAATGGACGTGGGATTCACTAAGTTTTGTTGTTTTTGTTTAAACACATCAGGGGCCGTGGATTGGACTAATGAGAGAACTTAGTTCATCACGCAGTATCACTGTTGCTCTGTGCTTGGTCCCCTTCTGCTATTTATTTCCACATGAAAAACACCCGTGAACCCATCATCCAACCCCAAACCTCACTAACAATTTCTGTTCTGTGTGCCTACACCATCCGACCTATCCACCCTCCTGCCGCCCACTTGGAGGCAGCCACTGGATCCTAAGTGATGTGATTCTCATTCTCTCTCTTTTGTTTTATCCCATATGTGTATACATGAAAATACTTGGTTTTATTTGCTTTTGATCTAAAAAAAAAAAAAAAATGGCAGAGGCGGAGGGGCACAACTATACAGCTGGTTGCCTTCTGCAATTTTTTCTTTCCTTCCCCTCAATTTTGTGTTTCCCAGATTCATCCTGTGGTTGAATAAAGCTATTGTCAGGTTTTTTTCACTTCAATATGAAGATGTCATTTAATGTATTAATTCCTATTCTTAGATGATGGGCATTGGTAATTTTCAATCTTTTGCTATAATGAACAGTATGGCTTTGAACTTTCTTGAACTGGTACATATGTGTTGGAATATATCTTGCATGTATCACCCGAAATGGAACTACAAAGGCATAGGATACAGAAATATTTTACTTTACAAGGTAACCAAATTATTTTCCAAAATCATTATGCCAATGGATACTCATCCACAATGCATAAGAGATCCACGGTCCTGTATTCCCTCCAACACTGAGCACTGTTTTCTTTTGCCAAACAATGGATATATAATATTCTCTCATCTGTGTTTCCTTCATACTAGTGAGGCAGAACGTTCTGTGTTTCCTTCATACTAGTGAGGCAGAATGTTTACAACTCTGTTTCCTCCTCTATGAATTGCCTCTTCTTATCTTTTGTCGTTTTTCTACCGAATTGTTCATATTTGTATTATTTATTATGCTTCATATTTTAAATTTCCCATTTTCTCAGTCATATAATTTACAAATAACTTCTTCCAATTTTTAGCTTATTACAGTTTTTCAAATCTTTTGATGAACAGACTTTTTTATTTCCACGTAGTCAAATTTGTTAATCTTTTATAATTAATGCTATTTGTTTCTTACCTAAAATAGTCTTCCTCACACTGAAAGCTATATTCAAAATTTTTATGAGATATTATTGTAATTGTTAAATTTTATCATACAGACCTTTCTATAGACAAATCACTTCATATTATTTCTTTGCTTTCTATCGTTTCATTGATTTTGCCCTTGCTTTTTATTTATTTTATTTTATTTTTGAGACAGAATCTTACTCTGTCACCTAGATTGGACTGCAGTGGCATAATCTTGGCTCACTGCAACCACCATCTCCCAGGTTCACGTGATCCTCCTTCCTCAGCCTCACAAGTAGCTAGGACCACAGTTGTACATCACCACGCCTGGCTAATTTTTGCATTCTTAGTAGGAACAGGGTTTTACCATGTTGGCCAGGCTAGTCTTGAACTCCTGACCTCAAGTAATTCACCTGCCTCAGCCTCCCAATACCCTTGTTTTTAAATTAATCTCTTTCTTTGGGTTTCTTCTGTTATTTATTTATTTTGCTAGCTTCTTAAATTAGTTAACTTTCCTCCTTCCTTTGCAATATAATAAAGTTATAAATTTCCCTAAAGTGCTATTTTTTGCTGTAATCCACAAATTTTAATATGTAATATTTTCATTATTATTCAGTTCTAATTATTTTTTAGTTGCCAGTATTTTTTTCTTTGACCTATTCTTTAGAAGTTTTTTTATTTTCTCAATACATAATGTTTTCATTAATCCTATTACTAGGATTTCATAAATCCTATTAGTCTTCTAGTTTAATCGTATGGTTGTGAGACTACGCCAAAGTCTGTCTGACATCTATTCTCTGAAATTTGTTGAGATTTCCCTTATAAGCCCAGTTTATCAGCAATTTTTAAAAATGTTACAGGATTATTGAGAAGAATATTCTCTAATCGTTGGTTATAGAATTCTTATAGGTCCCTAATGTCAAGCCTGTTAGCCTTGGCATTCAAATCTTTATCTTTGCTGATTTCTTATCTGTCTAATCTGTCCGCAACTGAGAAAAGTATTGGTGATAATAGAATTGTGTAATTCTCCTTGTAGTTCTAGACCAGCTCAAAAAACTAAATTCTAGTCTAAAAGCAAAGACTGAACATCCAGAGACTCTGTACAGTTCTGCTAAAAGAATTACTTAGCTCTTAGAGCCTAGTGGCTAAGAAAGCTGGCAACAAAATTCCAATTTGGATCTAAGTGTTTCCAAAGTATAACATAGCTTGAATTCTCAACTTTGCCAGGTGTCATTAGGATGTTAGGTGGAAAAACAAACAAATGAACAACAACAACAAATGAAAACAGGTTCTGTGGGAAACATGAGAGCAGATTTAGCACACAGAAAACTCAGGGGCCTCCCCCATTCTCCTTCTCTCATCAGCACCCTTGGATATCCTAGCTGAACCAAGTAGCACTGCCGCTGTCTGTCTTCATCACCCCACTGCTCACTTCATGAGGGCCTGGATGACTCTGTACTGTGAGCCACTAAAGGAGCCCACCCTGCTGCTCCTCCTCCAGTAAGTAGCACCCACATGTGCTGTGCTGGGGGCTAGAATGCCAAGGGAGAGCTCCTGTCCTCTATTCAGCTCCCTTGAATCCACAATAAGAGAAGTCCAATCGTGGTTTGTTTTGTTCTGAAAGTTTGCAATATGCTTGTCTAAAATATAGCATTTCCCAGTCTTTCTTGCAGTGGTTGATACCATGTGCAACTGAGTTCTGGCCAAGGAGAGTTCAGCAGAATTATTATGTAGAACTGCTTATAGGAAATTGAATTATCTGAGAGAACTTTTTTTTCCCCAAGCCCTTTCTCTTCTGTTCCTTCACAGACTTGACATCTAGGGCACCAGCTGCCACCCTGGATTATGATCTTGAAGATGAGTATCACATGTTGACATGGTAGAGACAGAAAGAGAGATGAATCCTGGGTTTCTGATGATTACCAGGTTTCTACTTGGCGGTATTGTTCACTTCCAAGGTACTTTTATGTGAAGAAAGAACGAAACTTCTACCTTGTTAAGGCACTATTTTGATTTTTCTATTGCTGCAGCCTAACACTAACTTACATAGTAATAAAGGCAGAACTCTTGAAGGATGTTTACGATAAAAAAGTAAGGGTAAGAAGGTCAACTATGATGGCCAGGAAAGACAGTAAGAGGTGTGGGAGAATTAATTCTTCTACAATATACTCTTTGTGAAACAAGACCTAAGAAATTTGGGAAATACTTCTCATCTAATTTGACTTTTCTTTCCAAAGAAACACCACATGTAGTAAACCCAAGGGGATGTACTAAAATAAAAATAAGATATATCAAGCAATCAGTGACAGCTAAGGATAATTTCTTAGTAATGTAACCAACAGTGAGAAAGATAATAAAGGTAGTAAGAAACATGAAATTCAGGAGAGATTGTTTTGGTTTTGAAGCTCCATGTGCTTGTTAAGAAATTTAATTAAGGCCAGTTGCTGTGGCTCATGCCTGTAATCCCAGCACTTGGGAGGCCAAGGTGGGCAGATCACGAGGTCAGGAGATTGAGACCATCCTGGCCAACATGGTGAAATCCCATCTCTCCTAAAAATACAAAAATTAGCCAGGCAGGATGGTGAGCACCTGTAGGTCCAGTTACTCAGGAGGCTGAGGCAGAAGAATTGCTTAAGTCTCGGAGGTAGAGGTTGCAGTGAGCTGAGAGCATGCCACTGCACTCCAGCCTGGCCACAAAGCAAGAGAAAAGGAAAGGATAAAAGAGAAAGAGAGAGACAGACAGACAGATAGATACAATTAAATGATTTCTCTTCTATGAAGAATCTCCCCAAATATCCACCTAAAAGGTAGTTATTACCTAGCACATTTCCCTGCTTTTAGAGAAAACATGAAAGAAAAAAATGGTTTTGTTTCTTTCTTAAATGTCATATCCCCTGCAAATATCAATGGGGGTTAAGCCTGGCCTTTTGCTGCTTTACAGATGAGGGGTATTTTGACTCACCGTGGCATTTTCTGACAGAAACCATTCAGGGATTGCAATATAGTGATTGGGAACTTTCCTGGGGATGTTCTGTCGGTCCTCTGCCTCCCAGAGCAGTGTGTTTAAATCAGGAAAGTTGTTGTTGATGTCAATTCCATCGTGGGTCCAGCGTCCCAGGGACCAGCCTCCCAGCTCCGAGCCCTGGAGACAAGTCAGAGAGTGAAGAATGCACAGGCTGCAGGACAGCCCGGACCCTCCACCATACGAGATGCCTCCATCTCCGCTTCCCCTTAGGGAGTGTCTCTAAGCCTCTGGATGCCCTTTGACCCAAAGATGGCATCTAAAGGAGAATATTGAAAAACCTCCTATTAATATATGGTGGATGATAGTTCAGCCAATGATTCCAAAGAGGGAATGCAGAGAACCACTCCTGCCACATGGAAGTGCTTAAAAAGCATTAGGTTCCTTCTTCCACCCCCACCTTCTTGTCTTCTATACTGGCCAGCTGAACCTCTGAGTAGCAATGAACTCATCACTGCAATATCAACGGCCATCATGGTAATGCATTCTCCCAGCCTGCCCATGATTCTAGCTCAGTATTTAGGAATGCAAATTCCTAACTGACTATATCTGCACTAATAAATGCAACCACATTTCTGTACTGTAAAGTTTGCATTTGATAAGTACCATTGTTTTAATATAATTTTCCATTTTAATCCCAGGTATTGTGATATATCACTATTGATACACAACACAACATAATACTAACTATACTCTATGTTCTCTTTATACCTAATTCTGTACCTATGCATATTCTATGCATACCTATAACCTATATATACATTCTATATCATTAAGAAAATAAAATATAAAAAATATATCATAATAATAAAACAACTATCCTCAGAGGACTGATGAGAAAATTAAAGGTAATAATCAAGGCTAACACATGCCATGATTAAGTGCTCAGCCAACATAAAGTGTTACTGTTGGACTCCACTATCATTGTATATATAGCAATATTGCTGTTCATCTTCACTTCCTCCCATTCGTCAGCATGTCCACCTCTCAAGGCCACCATCATTTTCAATGCCCGCTTTGCACCTTTGATAAACCTTGTGAGCTTCCCTGCCTCAGCAAAGACACTGAAAAATAAAACTCCTGTGGCCAGGCACGGTGGCTCATGCCTGTAATCCCAGCACTTTGGGAAGCCAAGGTTGGCAGATTACCTGAGGTCAGGAGTTCAAGACCAGCCTGGCCAACCTCCTCTCTACTAAAAATACAAAAATTAGCTGGGCACGGTGGCAGGCACCTATAATCCCAGCTACTCAGGAGGCTGAGGCAGGAGACTCACTTGAACCCAGGAGGTAGAGTTTATAGTAAGCTGAGATCGTGCCACTGTACTCCAGCCTGGGCAACAGAGGGAGACTCTGACTCAAAAAGAAATAAATGAATAAAGCTCGTAAGGTGGAATTTTGCATAACCCTAGGGCCGGGCACACTCCGGAGCGGGGGCCTGGCTGCCCATGTCACACTGGGTGAGATGGGCCAGGGCTATTACCCCTTCGTACGCCTTCTCGTAACCATCGGGGTTGAGCGAGGGGAGGATGTGAATCCGCGTCTCCTCCACCAGGCGGACGATGCGTGCATTCCGGGCCAAGTATTCCTGGCACAGAAACTGCACCAGCAGCAGCAGCAGCTCCCGGCCCAGCACCTCATTTCCGTGGGCCCCCGCGATGTAGTGGAACTCAGGCTCACCTTTATCAAAGACAGAAGCACAGGTTCATGTTGAAACACTTAGGGCCAAACGGTGGTTATCGCATTGTGTTAGAGGGGAAAGTCTTGAATAATATAAGCTTACCATTTTAGCCCTATTTGTTCTTTCAAATCAACCTCTAAAATGGCATCAGGACAACTGTCTTATTCCCAGAGAGTCAGGTATGTAAGAAAAGGTGTAGAAAAATCTACACCTGACATTATTACACCTGTGACGTGACACCTGTCACAGGGTAATAATGTCCATTCTTATTTACCAAGAACAGATCAAGTAACAGTGCTTCCAGCTTAACATTTACAAATTGAGCACAAGCCGTCTCAATCAGTCCTCTCTTTTGGGATGTAATTATTTTTCTTAAAATAACTTCCTATTAAGTTTAACAAAGACAAATGAATATAAGCAGAAACTAGTCCATCAGGGCAAATCAGCAGTGACACAGTGTAGAGTGGGGCTTTCTTTAGGTATATTCTCTTTCAAAGCTCAGCTTTTGAAATCTTAGGGTGCTATGGCTTAACATATATGTCCCCCCAAAATTCATATGTTGGAACTTAAAATCCAGTGTGAGTATTCAGAGAAGGAGCCAGCTGAGTGCAGTGGCTCACATTTATAATCCCAGCACTTTGGGAGGCCAAGGTGGGAAGACGGCTTGAGTACAGGGGTTCGAGACCAGCCTGGGCAACATGGCGAAACCTTGACTCTACCAAAAAAAAAAAAGTTATCTGGGCATGGTGATGCACACCTGTAATCCCAGCTACTCGGGAGGCTGAGGTGGGAGGATTGAGCCTGAAAGGCAGAGTTTGTAATGAGCCAAGATTGTGGCATTGCACTCCAGCCTGGGAGATGGAGTGAGAACTTGTCTCAAAAAAAGAAAAAAATAAAAGAGGTAGTGCCTTCAGGAGGTGATGAAGAGATTACTGCTCTTATAAAAGGGCTCCAGAGAACTAGCCAGGCACTTTTGACCTTCTGCCCCTGCCATGTAAGACAAGAAGGGGTCTGAAGAGAAACAACCGTCAATAGGCACTGAATCTCCCCGTGCCTTGACTTTGAACCTCCCAGCCTCCAGAACTGTGAGCAATAAAGTTCTGTGGTTTAGAAATTCCCCAATCTCTTAAATTTTGTTATAGCAGCCAGAAGGGACTAAGGCCTGGCAGGTCTTAGTGCTGGGCACCAGCTGACAACACATCTCCTTTCCTCACTGGCGAAGCTGCTACTTGCAAGGAAATGTGATTTTACCAGCAGATAAAGTTTGAAATGACAGATACAGGTGAGGGGATGGAAGGCAGCAAACCACACTGCCAAGTGTGTACCTATGCAACAATCTTGCATGTTCATCACATGTACCCCAAAACCTAAAATGCAATAAAAAAAGAAAAAAAAAAGAAAATAAACTCGTGAGAGGAACTCCTGAGACCTTGATGAATGTTAAAGTTGAGTAAATCGGACAAATCTTTGCACCTAAATATCAGCAGATTTCTAAAGAGCTCCCAGATTTACCAAAAAGAAAATCAGAGAAGCCCATCCGACCTGTAGAGGGGCAGGTTGGGGAGCGACTGAATGGGAAATGGCTGAAAACAGGAAATACCTAAGAGTAGAATTGAGTTTTTTTAAGAAGGGGGAGAAGCTGCTCTAATTTGAGTCATTAACGATCAGGGAATCCTGAAGGAGGAAATTCTGTCCTGTCCACCTCAGCCACTTTCTTCTTTGGCTATTGTGGTTGGTATCAGAGGTGAACGGAGAATGAAATATGCTCCATTTGGAGAAAAGATGGATATTTCCAGTGTAAATAAGTCTATAGTTCATATCATAAGATGAGTGGTTCACAGAACCAACCTGCACAGAATCTGTCTACATGAGAGAGCTGAGGTGTGAACAGCTGATGCCCTGTGGCGTGAATCTTCTCATAGGGTGAACAGTCTCCTAACTATTTACATGGGTACCAAAGATGAAGGGGCCAAGCATCCCAGAGAGGCCCTTCTCACCAACTTCATGCTCTCCAGGGTGATCAGAGATCTCCACAGCATACAGCTTCAGGCCCTGGTGGCTTTTTCCAATGTTGTAAATTCTGGTGATATTGGGACACATTTCATTTACAACTTTCATCAACTGAAAAACAAAATAAATTAAAGGCTCTAAGCATTGATGGCAATGCTCTAAAAGGACAGAGCTCCTGAGAAGATAGATACCTCTTGCTTTCCTCCACAGCCCCCCCCAAGCACCCCCACATTCCACACATCCCAGCTGCTAACGCCTCTGCCCAGAACACCCTCCTATATCCCTCTCCCTTGGATAATGCCTATTTCCTTCCAGCAACTGCTCTATCATCACCCCCTCTAGGAAGAAACTCCTGGCCATTGCCCCCACCTGGCCCTGTACATTCAGCACCATTTTTGTTGTGGCTATCACCTCTTGTTATCCTCCAAATGTTTGTGTCCCCCAAAATCCATAGGCTGAAACCTAATCCCTAATGCATGAAAGGCTGGGCCCTCCAGGAAGTGATTAGTGTTCTTACAAAAGAGGCCCAAGGGAGCTTGTTGCCCATCTACCACGTGAGGATGAAGCACGACAGTGCCTTTGTGAGCCAGAGTGAGCCCTCACCAGACCATAGATCTGCCAAAGCCTCAATATTGGACATTCCAGCCTCCAGAACTCTGAATAGATTTCTGTTATTTATAAGCTACTCAGTTTACAGTATTTTAGCATGAATGGACTGAGATATTTGCTGATAGAGTTTGGCTGTGCCCCCCTCCACCCCACAAAAAAAACTCATCTTGAATTGTAGTTCCCATAATCCCTATGTGTCATGAAAGGGACCCAGTGAGAGGTAACTGAATCATGGGGGTGATTTCCCTCATTCTGTTCTCATGATAGTGAGTTCTCACGAGATCTGATGGTTTTGTAAGGGGCCTCCCCCTTCACTCAGCACTCATTCTCTCTCCTGCTGCCCTGTGAAGAGGTGCCTTCTGCCATTATGGTAAGTTTCCTGAGGCCTCCCCAGCCACGCAGAACTCTGAGTCCATTAAAACTCTTTTCTTTATAAACGACCCAGTCTCAGATATTTCTTCACAGCAGCATGAGAATGAGCTAACACACCTTCCTTAGTTATGACTATTACCTCCCTGGTTGTGTCTATCACCTTGGTTGTGATTATCACCTCCCTGGTTATGGTGACATCTTCCCTGATTGTGGCTATCATCTCCCTGGTTGTAGTTATCACCTTTCTGGTTGTGATCATCACCTCCTTCATTGTGGTTATCACTTCCCTGGTTGTGATCATCACCTCCATTGCCATGGCTATCACCATCCTGATTGTGGTTCTCACCTTCACTGTTGTGGTTCTCACCTCCCTAATTGTGGTCATCACCTCCCTTGTCATGGTTATCACTTCCCTGGTTGTAATTATCACCTCCCTGGCTGTGGTTATCACCTCTATAGTTGTGGGCATCACCTCCTTCATTACGTTTATCACTTCCCTGGTTGTGGTCATCACCTCCTTTGTTGTGGTTATCACTTCCCTGGTTGTGGTTATCACCTCCCTGGTGGTGGTTCTTACCTCTTTTGTTGTGGTCACCATCTCCTATCTTCTGGTCACCATTTCCCTGGTTATGGTTACCACCTCCCTCATTGTGGTTATCAACTTCCTGGTTGTGGTTACCACTTCCCTGGTTGTGGTTCTTACCTCTCTTCTTGTGGTCACCACCTCCTTAGTTATGATCGTCACCACCCTCATCTCCCTCATTGTGGTTATCACTTCCCTAGTTGTGGTCATCACCTCCCTGGTTGTGGTCATCACCTCCCTCGTTGTGGTAATCATTCCCCTGGTTGTGGTTATCACTTTCCCTGATGTGGTTATCATCACCTCTCTTGCAGTTATCACCTCTCCGGTTGTAGTTATCACTTCCCTGATTGTAGTTATCACTTTCTTGGTTGTGGTACTCACCTCCCTGGTTGTGGTTCTCACCTCCTTCAGTGGTGGTTATTACTTTTCACTGTGATTTCCTGTTTTCTTATTGCCCACTCACTATACTGCAGATCACTGAAGAGACAGACTCAGCCCTTTATCTTTCATGCCTGACCAAATAATTATATCTTAATATCAACTTTCTTCATAATTTAATGAGCATCTACATTGTTGGGTTGAACGAATGCTATTCCTTCCCTCCTGGAGCCTGCAGCACACAGCCAATAAGAGGCATGCAATGACTCAGTTTATTGCCGCTAAGTAAGGAGAGCATTAGGTCACCATGACAACAGGAATCATGGGGTTAAATGGTAGGAATAGCAGGCTTCAGCAAGGAAGTGAAATAAATATATGCTGTTTTCCGTTTGCATTTTAGTCAGCTTGTCAAACTGATAGCTGAGGTCTGGGAGAATGAGATCAGAGTCCAAAGGAGGTACCGAGGGCTCTGCAAGTCACGGAATAAAAGGCTGCCCCAACGGCCAAAGGCCAGAAACACCCTCTCCCTAGAGGCTGCCTTGCCTCACATCACTGAACCAGTACCTGTGAGTTCACTACAAGTAGCCGTAATTTGCTAGGTTAAATTTGTTTCTCAATCCCCAAGTGACATCTGATTCAAAGGATGTCTCTTTATTGAGCCCGGCACCAGACCATGCAGTAGGGGCCAGAGGGTTCTAGGGACAGTTTCATGACAGTGTGTTAGAGACCAGCAAGGAAGCTCAGGTGCTACAGAAACAGACAGGAATTCCATCCTGGCCAGGGTGGCTGGTGGGCAGGTGCCTATTGTCGGGGGCATAGCATTCTGAAAGCTGAGCTGGAACTGAGTTGGTGGAGAACAGAGGAAGGGCATAGCCCACAGCAGGGCAGCACAGACCTGAATGCATTCTAGCAAGCTGCCAAAAAATCGGATCAACAGAATTATCCATAAAATGTCCTTGTAAAGTGTAGATAAACAAATCTGTTGCAAATTTTATGGTGGGTTGAAATCTATTAGAACTGGAAAATTGTTATTATGTAGAATTTATGAGATGGTGGAGTTATATGGCTGTGTGCTTCATATGCCTTTCACAACACTACATTCTGTAATGACTGGGAAGAGTGGCTTAATGAGCATCAAGGAGCATTTCTAGAGGAGTGGAAAGATTTACTGCTGCTATAGCTTGGCTTTTATGACGTGCCTGCAAGAGGCGTCAGGTGCAGCCTTGACTGAGAATTCAGGGTCTAACTCTCTTACTGCTCCAGGGGTTAAAGCAGGCTTCACTTTATGATAACTCACTCTGTGTCACAATATTTAGGTGAGAGAAAGCTGGCTACAAAGACTCTTGTTCCCAAGAAGGCTACAACAGAAATCTATCACAAATGGAGAAGCAATGTGCAAAGGACATGTAGCTTCCACAGCCAACACCACGAAGACAAACACTTCAGAGACAGCAGGGAGCCACCACGACTAGCACTATGTTTTAATAAAAGACACAGTAATAATGTCACCAATTGTGTTAACAACAATAGTAAGAATACGTTCGGTTTTTCTGCTAAGTCTCACCATCATGACCAATGGGTAAAGTAGAAAAGACAGAGGAGATGGTTCTCATTCTACAGACTTGGAGACTGAGGCCCAGAAGGACATCGAGTGATTTGCCCTGGATCACCCAGCTGGTAGCAGGTGACGCCAGGACTTTGGACTCTCAGGGTTCTTCCCATACCCTATCTGTCCATGAAGGTATAGCAGAGAAATCAGAACTAGTGCATCTCTATTTGCTGTACACTGTGACCATTCTGATGGCCATGGCACACTTGCCATCTCCTTTGAGACTCCATGAACTAGTCCCTGCTGATGCAGTCATTCTCAGCCAACAGCATCGACCTTAGCAAATCCTAACTGGCAGGTAATTCACCGTCATGCAATCAGATCAGTGACTAGCTCTACAGATAGAAAGCCAGGTGGCTCATCCCGAACTAGGCAATGAATGTATGCATTCAGCTCAGCTGGCTTTCTTCACTGTTACCCCGCCCCCTTTCAATTAGCTGCAGGAGAAATGTGCTGTCAGTAGGAGAGATCACAACCTTGACACTGGAAGAAGACAAAGATCATCTCCCCTTGATATGCACACGTAGCTATGGCATGGGAAGATGCTTGGGCCATGAGTCACCAGAATCACCTTCTTATCCTCTACCCACAATCACCATACATCCATGCCAGCCATGCTTTCCTACCAATGGCACAATAACAAACAAAGTACATGCCACTGTGCCATGGTATCACAAGCATCTTTCCCATGAGACCATAGACCTTTGAAGAATCTTCTTCTCAACGAAGTTTCTTTACAATTCTCTCTGCACAGTGGCCTTTTGCAATGCCAGGAAGCACCTCTCCAGTGGCTACCAGCACCATCAAAGGCATCCGTGGTGGCCCACTCTGCTCTTCTTAGCAAGGCAACCATGAACATCCCCAGTAATGGAGTTTCCCATTTAAACATAATTAATTCTTGTAAGGAAATACAATTCGTCTTGAAAAGGGTCAAAGATGGTTTTTTGGAGTCTGAGTCTTTGTGGTAAATGTTTGGGTCTTGATGACTTCAGGCAGAGTAAAAAATAGAATTTTCACTATGGCCTTAGAGCATGCATTCTCAAAAGAGATGACTTCACCCCAAGAGACTGAAAATTGTGGCTAAAAAGTCTTAGGTATTACAATGCTTTGTGGTCCTCCAAAGCTCAACCCTATCTGGCAAAATCCTATTTCTTAATATTTAATATAATGTGGGGAGGATGATTAAGAAAAGAAGTCTAAGAAGTCTCCCTAGAAAGGTAGTCATGAAAAGAATGTTAAGAAACATCATCTTAGAAAGTACCAGGGTTTGTAAGACTCTTGGTCTCTTCAAGACGGTTTTCCCAACTCTGAGATGGAAATAAACTTGGCATCATGGTGTCTACTGAATTCCAGGCTCTGCTGCTTCTCTCTCTACTGAAGGAGATAGAATCAAGGGCCTCAATTTGTGGCAAAATATCAGAAGGAAAGTATTCATAAAGACGGTAAAATGTTATGCACAATGACACTTGTGGCATGTTTCATACTTTGTCAGTATTCATGAAAAGTTATGAATTGGGAGATATCCAATTGTTCCAGAGCAGGAAAGAAGCTGAGAAAAGTATGATGCATCCACTCACCAGAACATTCTGCAACCTCACAATCACAATTATGAAGACAGCACGGAAAATCGCTAATGATCCAATATTCGCTGAGAAACACAGGGCCAAGACGTAACTATCCTCTGATCAAAACCGTAGGAATTCTGTGAATACAGAAGTTCAAACACCAGATGGAAATGGGGAGAACATGAAAACTGCTGTTTTTTTTTTTTTTTAGAGTAGTGGGCTTGTGGAGGATTTGTCTTTCGGCTTTTGGTTTGCATTTGATGCTGGCATAATATTGTTTATCCAGTGGATGCAAGTATTTAAAAAAAAAAAAAAAAAAAAAAAAAAAAAAGGAGAGTGGAGAAGAGGAAAGTTCTCTTCTGTCATCTTTCCTCATTTGCTTGAGAAACACACACTACACCTGGCCCAATGGAAAAGAAATTCCAGAAGGAAGGAAGAGGGAAGGGATGGAGTTAGGCGTGTCTGGATCTGCAGGCTTTCTCCTCCACCCTGGCCTCCTGCCCCCACAGTATCAGGCTGAGCATGGAGTAAGTGAGTGTGTCAGTCGCGGTCCCCATAGGCTGGTGTCCCTGGCCATCCTTAGCTGCCTTGGAAATCAATGTCATTAGATGGCTCCCTTCCGGACGGTGTCTGCCATGTTACTTTTTTCTACCCGCATCACACTGTCTGCACGTGGGCTGTCAGCCAGTACTTCCTGGGCATTTGGGACCTGACAACACTACCCAAACCAAAGTAGGTCATTATCCTTGTCCTCAAAATCACTTCTTCCTTTTCTCCACAGAAGCACACCAGGCCCCTTTTTCTCCCCAACTCACTCCAGCAGGTGACCACCACTGGGCAGCCTGCTTCAGAAATGCCTCTCCTCTCATCCTCCTTCAGGCCCAGGGGCCTGCCCTCCTTACAACTTCCAGAAACACAGCTCTGCACACCAAAGAACCTCCACGGACCCCTGCCTCTGGATAAAAGCCCCTCTTGGCACTCAGGACCAGCCTCTTCTCAGCTGCCTGCAAATTGTCACAGAACACACCTCTCAGCTCTGACCCCATGCCTTTACTCTTGCTTCCCTCTCTGTTCAGAGAACCCTGCCTCCACCCCTGCCTGACGGCGTCCAGCAGCTCACCTTGGATGACAGCTGACCTCCTCTGCAACCAAAGCCTCCCAAACCATGGCCAAGTAGATGGCTCCCTTCTCCCTCCCATTCCCCATGACTGCGACAGCCTCGAATATACACATTGACCAAGTGCACATTATGGATGATATAAACGACAGGGTCTCTTCCCTCGTTGTCCTAAGTGAGGGAGAAAGGTGATGTATATGTAAACCGGCAACTATGCAAGTCTGAATTGCAACACAGGCTATAAAGGCCTTCAGCATTCTCTTGGAACAATTCCCTTTCCCCACCTTATAGTGCCAATGTCAGCACTTTCTCCTTCCTCTCTTCCTCTCTTCTCCACCTCAACTACCTGCAGCTCCCCTCTGCCTGGAAAGGTGTCTCATAAGTCCGTGCTCTCTGCACAGAAGAGTCACATGTCCCCTCATTATCTTCCTCCTCCAATGCAGTAAGGTTTTCTATTTTCACTTCTTGCTTCCTGCTTCTGTTTCTCATTTTTTTTTTTGTTTGTTGTAAATGTCTCTTTCAATAGTAGGGAAAATGAACAATTTTTTCCTGAGGGAGAAAGATTTCTACAGTAACCTAGCAGACTCCATATGGGGAAATTGCTCAAAATGTTGACTTCTTTCCCAACCCCAGGAGCCAGGAATACAAATGGCAAATCATTTCTGGCTTGAACATTCTTCAGGATCGATGGGCGCTCTCCTGGACAGTTTCCAGTGGAGAGCTGCTGAGCTGTGGGATCTCACAGGGGTTCCCCAGTGTCACTCAAGGGGAATGCACTGACTATCCAAAGGTCCCTCTTGGCTCCAATAGTGACCAGAGTCGCCAAGCCCAAGTCCCCATGAAGGACAACTATTTACAGATAACAGCTACCTGGAGTCTCTCTGCAATTCACTCATTTTCAATGCATTTAGATTTATTGCCCTTGACATTAATTGCACTGAGTTGATATTGTCTCATCTGAGCTCAAGAAGCTATCCTGAGACATCCAGTGAGCAAAGTGGAGTTAACACACCAGTGCTCCATAAAATGAAATGGTGAGCAGAGCCATGTAAATACCCCAAAATGTAGAGCAGCAGGGATGATTCACAGCCCTCAAGTCCAAACACATTATCTTGATTTCTGAAGAGCAAGACAGCAAGAAGATTTCTTAGCACATCCCACCTCTAAGTCTGTGCTGACAGGTGTCTGGAAGCTATGTGTGAGTATCTCAAGTTAGATCACATCAAGACAAACTAAGCTTGTTCATTCCATGGGAATGGGGCTCCGCTTAATTGCTCCGACCTCAGAAACACATTCCACATTTGTACTGGATGGCTGCTCCCCTCCCTTAGCACCTATAAGCCCTCCCTTTGAGCCATGTGGATTTGCCCTTGATGAATCCTTGTTCTATAAATGTATTCAGAAGGACATTTCTGCATGTTCTGTCTCTTCAGATTCTTAGCTCTCTGAGCATTTCTCATTTGCCAGCTCCTCCCCATGCTTTCCAGCACACGCTGGGGGTGGGCGCAGAACAGGATTTCATAGGCACCATGCTTAGCATAGGTACAGCCATTTTAGCTTGTCCTAATAAACATGCTATCCCTTCCCCCTTCTGCACTCAGTATGCAAATGCTGTCAAAAGCTCAGAACTATTAGGTTTCTATAATTAAATCTGGGGGATCTTTTCTTTCTAACAATACTAAGAGCTATGAAGCTATCAACCAGTAGTTCTGAAACCTGGCTGGACAGCAGAATCACAAAAAGAGGATTTAAAAATCTGGATCCCCAGGTCCCTGTCTTCTAAGGATTCGGCTTTAATTGGCCTGAGATGGGGCTCAATTATCAGTAGCTTTACAAATGTCCCCAGGTGATTTTAATATGCAACCAAGATTGAAACTCGGAGGATCTGAGTAATAAGCAGTGCTATAGTCTCTCAGTGCTCAGTTCTCCCATCTGTGAATAACAATAACAACAGTCCCTGCCCTTCTAAAGTTATTAGGAGGGCTGAACACAGTCATGTATGGTCATGTTGGTCCTATATGACTATTTCATGCTATTATTATTATCTATGTTATCCTAGATCCTCTTCCTTCTTCAACTCTGCATATGACCAACATCCTTAAGTCAATGACAGACCTCAAAAACACAATTAATTTTTAAGACCCAGAGCATTAAATGAGAAGAACTTGGATTCAAACTGTGTTTCAACAATCTGCCAGCCAGGAAGCCTTCCTTTGGTCACCTGAACCCCAAATCTCGAAATGACAAGCATTGAATGTGTCTTTGGCAAACCAAATGATCATTCAGATCCCTAATAATCAATTTCTGGAAAAAAAATTTAAGTGCTTATGAACACATTAATTTTGACAAATTCCTGGCATGAGGCTTTGTGACCCGGGTCTTACCTGGCGCATTTCCTTATAGTTGTGGTGCTTAAAATCCAGGTCATCAGTGGTGGTCATCTCGTTCCGGCGGTGATAATAGTTATTAGGATCTAGGGACAGAAACATGGTTCTGAATTCACTTCCATCATTCTCTCTCCCACAGCATGTCTACTAGAGACCTGTTTCACATGGGGACTGCAGGGACAGTGCAGCCCAATCTCTAGCTTCTAATGTTGGCTCAGAGATGAAAAAAAACAACCTGCAAGAAGCAACTTAGAAGTCCGAATTACTCAGTGGTTGAGAGTATGGAGCCAGAATGCCTGGGTTCAAATCTCCACTCTTATACTTACATACTGTGTGAGTATGTAAGCGGGCAAGTCACTTGCACAGTGTTGAACTTGGATTTTTACCCATAAACAAGGACAAGAATGGTACCTCCCTCAATGGTTTGTTGCTAGCATAGATAAAACAAACCCATATACCCAGCAAGCTGTCAGCACTACATAAATGAGTGAATATCAAGACTACACACATGCATGAAAACTTCTGGAAGGCTATGGATGCTATTAGCTTCTTACCCAGCATTCATTCCCCTTTCTTCCTTCCTAAAAGAAGTCCTATGTTTGGGAATCTCCTTCTCCCACTTCTAGGAGGATCTCAAGTCCCAAGCTCCAGGGCTCCAACACGACTGGCCAATCAGAACACAGCCACTGTAATTGATCCAGATTGAAGGGAAGGACTTCATTGATGCAGAGGAGTAACAATCTCTCCCTAGCAGTAAGAATACAGAAGCATGTTGCCAAATTGCTACAGTGGCCATCTGACCTCAGGAAGCACTAGCCTCAGCATGACTTCAGTGGTGTGGATGACCCAGAGTAGAAGTCAGAAACTCCAGTAACACCAAGAGCGATTAAATCAACCAACCCCACAGCCCAATCTTGAGCAAGATAAAGAACACCTTTGCAGCTAAGCCAGTGAAAGCTGGTGTTTCTGCTGCGGGAGCTGAAGCATCTTGACGGGTATAATCGAACGTGTTAACAGAGGTGACCTCTGGGAACTGGGATTCAGGGGAGGCAATGTCTGCTCTTCACTTGATTCCCTTCCATATAAATTAACTCCCCATCCCCATTACTATAAGCCTGTATGGTTTATATAATTACAAAACCCAGGAACACAGAAAAGAAAGGTGAGAACAGGGAGGAGCAAGAAGAAGAAGGAGGGAAGCCGGGAAGGGACCACTCCATCTGCCTTGAAGCCCCCCAGCCAGCCTGGTGACATCTCTGTCAGGAAGATGCCACTGGAAATGTGGTGTATTTCCTGCTCAGTGTTCAGCACTGCCTCCAATGTGGAGAACCCACAGCCCTAGGAACCATGTGAGCAATGTGGGAACGGTACAGCTGTCTGTTGAACCCCAGTGCCTCCCAGGGCCACTCTACAGGCAGTGAGGGGCAGTGAGGGGATGAGCACTCTGTGTTATGTGGGCCAGCGAGGCCAGATCTGTGCCACCAGCTGTGGTCCACAGAGCAGGAGCATTGGCTGCTTGCTAGACCCAGCCCCGATCTACTGAATTAGAAACCACATTGCAACAGGATTCCAGCTGCCTCTGTAGACTTTCACAGTTTGAGAATACTCAGCACGTGTTGCATACATCTGCCATCAACTGAGCTAACCCTGTGCCTGTGTCCCCACAACCACAGGTCACAAACGCCATACCCAAGCTGATCAAGGTTCACTGAAAGACAAGCTTCACCCTTGTGACCACTTGCAACGAGTTACAAATCTCATATAGACCCAAACACCGAAAATACAGCTTTTAATATTCACGAACAATGTTCCAGTTATGCTATCACAAATAACTGTTACGGGAAGGGAAATAATGTAGGTGTGCAACTGGCATTTTGTCCAGACAAAGCCAAAGCCATTTAGGCTTTGCCAGACGCCCACAGTGATTTCTCAAGCCCTTTCCTCTGGGGAGTGGAGGCTGACCATGCCTCAGGCAAACTGCCTTCCCTTTGATTTCCAAACCACCACGTTTCAAAGCAAAGGTAAAACGTGCATTTTGCATTCATTTACACATAACTTACTTGCATGCTGTTTTCTAAGAGCCATTCAACACCCCCTAAACCTCGGGGGCGTCTTTTCAAAGGACTTTAAAGTCGCTTTTGTTTTGAAACACAAATGATGCCTTCAAGGTTCTTAAAAAGGATTGAAGGAAAACTCAGAGCCCTAAGTCCAAAAGAGCTCTATGTTTGGCAACTTTCTTCCTTCCTCAAGGCTAATCCGGCTTTTGAAGGATATGGGTCCCTTTACCAAAACTGTCTCAGAACTTCACAACTTTCACTCACCCACATTTCGAACAAATACTTCCTTACTTGTCCATTTTTTCTGATTGGACAAAGTTTCATTGAGACCCTATTAGGAGCCCAGCACTTAGGTAAGAAATGAGTGAGGACCCAGCCCAGAGTCCACAGACAGAGCCAGTGAGTCATCTAAGCCCGCTAATCCCTGCTTCCTTCTGTGGACAAGAGAAGCCCTTCCTCCTGTCAAAGTTGTTTCAACCAGAGCGACTTCATCTTGAATAAGAGCTGGATAAAATGAAGCTGAGACCTACTGGGTTATGTTCCCAATAAGTTAGGCATTCTAAGTCATAGGATGAGATAGGAGGCAGGCACAAGGCACAGGTCATAAAGACCTTGCTAATAAAACCAATTGCCGTAAAGAAGCAGGGAAAACCCATCAGAACCAAGATGGCAGCTGGGCGCAATGTCTTACGCCTGTAATCCCAGTACTTCAGGAGGCCGAGGCGGGTGGATCACGAGGTTAAGAGTTCGAGACCAGTCTGGCCAACATGGTGAAACCCCTGTCTCTACTACATATACAAAAGGTATGCGGGTGTGGTGGTGGGTGCCTGTAATCCCAGCTACTCGGGAGGCTGATATGGGAGAATCACTTGAAATTGGAAGACGGAGGTTGCAGTAAGCAGAGATTGTGATACTGAACTCCAGTCTGGGCAACAGGAGTGAAATTCCCTGTAAAAAAAAATAAATAAACAAAAATGAAAAAACCAAGATGGCGACAAGAGTGACCTCTGGTGGTCCTCACTGCTCATTATACACTAATTATAATACATTAGCATTCTAAAGACCCCCCACCAGCACCACGGCAGTTTACAGATGCTATGGCAACATTAGGAAGTTACCCTATATGGTCTAAAAAGAGAGGAACCCCTAGTTTCGGGAATTGCCCACCTCTTCCCCAGAAAACTCATTAATAACCCACCCCTTGTTTAGCGTATAATCAAGACGTAACAACAAATAGAAGCAGCTGAGTGGCCATGCCGCTGTTCTGCCTATGAAGTAGCCATTCTTGCTTCCTTTACTTTCTTAATAAACTTGCTTTCACTTTATGGATTCATCTCGAATTCCTTCTCCAGGAACCCTCTCTTGGGTTCTGGATTGGGACCCCTTTCCAGTAACACTCCTGTGGGGAATTGATTTTAGGTGCTTCAGCTATGCAAGTGTGAGCATGTGGCTCAGGTCTAGCCATCTAAAACACACTTCCTTCCTTCGGTTAGGCACTGACTCAGTGACGATAGCGACGATCCCAGGATCCAAGCCAGGCCAATCAGATAACTTTTCTCACAGAGCTTGCAGAATAGTCTCTTCTGCTGGAGCCCTCGGAGGGTAGGATGTAAGTGGGAGGTATCTGTGGCCAATCTTCCAGTCTACAAGTTAGTGACAGAGGGAGCCCTGGCCCCTACATGAAGGCCCTGACATGTTAGACCTATTCTTGCCTGAAGCCAAAGTCAGACCTGTCCCTGGAATTTTCACTTAGGTGAGCCAAGAATTTCTTACCTTTTTCTTAACCTAATTTGAATAGGACTTCTGACCTCTGAAATAGAAATGCAGACTGATCCAATCTACAGGGGCTTTAACCTCCTGTATATGGAAAACCAGCTGATTCTTCTGCAGCACCCTAGTTATTGGGATCCACAAACTCCAGGAGTGGAGCCTGAAAAGATCTTTCCAACCTTATTTCCCTTATTAAACTACTCAAACATTCTGCTCTGTCCAAACTGGTCTCGTTATGGGCTGAATTGTGCTCCCCCGCCAAAGAAAAGCTCTGTTGGAGGCCTCACCCCCAGTACTTGAGAATATGACCTTGCTTGGAGATGGGGTTTTTTAAAAGGATTTCAAGTTCAAATGAAGTCATCAGGCAAGTCCTCACCTAACGGGGAGATTTGAATACGGACGCTCACGTGGCGAAACACCAGGTGAGTAAAGGCAGAGGCTGGGTAATGCATCTACAAACCAGAGGGTGTCAAAGTCTGACATCAAACCACCCACAGCTGTGAGAGGGGCCTGGAACAGATTCTCCCTGACAGACCCAGAAGAAACCAGCCCTGCAGACACATCTTAGCTTCCGGCCTCCAGAACAGTGGCAGGATAAGTTATTCTAAGCCACCCAGTTTTGGGTACCTGGTTACAGCAACCCTAGGAAGCTACTACCTGCCCTAAGCATGTCTCCCTCCTCACCCCCGAATCTGTAGTTTTCTTCTGACTCCTCAGAGACTAGCACAGATGTCAGCTGCCCTGTAGGGCCTTCTGGTCACCCTCATCTCAGTCATTTCTTACTCCTCAGACATGGTCATAAAAATAAATCCTTAAATAACCTGCACTACCTTCATGTCCTTTTGGCAACCTATTCTCGGATATCCCTGATGTAAATTCATGGGAGCCCTCCAGGGACAGAGCTCACAGCCTCACAAAGCAGCCTCTTGTGCCATTGTCAGCCCTAATTGCTAGGAAGGTCTTCCTTTATCAAGCGGAAGTCTACCTGCTGATCTTAATTCTTCCCTCCTCAGCTAGGATGACTAAGCCTCCTCCCTTTCATGTACGATGGAGGCAGGAGAATAGGGGCTGGGGGCAGGAAACGTAGGGCGGATTCATGCTGACTTCCTAGAACTAAATCAAATGGAAACACTTCAGCTATGACAGGAAATATCCTCTCCATTTACAGAAGGCATACACCGAGTAAATGACTTTGTAACTTTACTTCATCCTTTTCATTGACATAGGGCATACACCAAGTGACCCCTGGAAACCTCTAG